TTAGTTGTGAAGATTTCATCAGGAACATTAACTCCTGTTTCCTTGTTTCGATACTCTGTATATATATTTTTTCGGACTGTTCTCAAGTGCTTAACATACATATGGTTACATGTCCACAAAAACATCATAAATGCTTTATGAGGGTAGGTTTGACAAAAATATCACATAGTGGAGTGGATCTAGATGGGATAGGGAGGACCGGAACAACCCTCCCCCTGGAATTAACAAAGTTATGAAAAGTATGATTTCACTAAATCAGGCAAAATTAACCTTAGAACCTCCAAACCCACACCAACCCCCTAGAAAACGCGGATCACTTATCGAAATCGCTAATCTATGTGGAAATGGTATGAAAAGTCAAAGGCACGAAGCATTAAAAGTAAACGACGACGACTCCCCCAATTGGTTTTCACGTTTGGAGATAGTTTCCATAATTTCTGGATCTGCGCCTGTATTACATGTAACCTGTCCCTTCTTTGAGCCGATTTGAGAGTTAAGAAACATGCAAAAATGCTATATACTTCTGTTAACAGTTCTAATAGCAAAATGATTTTTGGGGGATATGCTTTGGTGGTGTTATTTTTATTTAATGATGTGCAAATAGGATACATGTGTATACAAATTTACCCCCCCCCCCCCCATGGACTACAAGGCTTACCTGAGTAACTTTGACCCCGCTGATCTTCGTGATCTTTAATAAATTTTGTGAAAATTAGACCAATGGTTCTCGAGAAGAAGTAGAAATGTGAAACGTTTACAGATGGACAGGACAGACGAACGGACCATGAAAAATGTAAGCTTTCAGCACAGGTTACCTAAAAAAATGAGAGTCAAAATTTCGGCGACTTGCATTGACAACAAGGTATTTGGTTCCGAGAACAATCAAATTTCCAGCTGTTGGACTAATTATGAGCTCTTTTTTTTCCCGGGGGGGGGGGATCCCATTAAAAAAAATCAAACCTAGATATTTCGTGACAAGCCAAATAAAAGTTTACTCCTTTCCCATGCGTCAACATAGAAATTTTGTGACAAGCAAAAAAAAAAAAGTATAATCTTTTCTTGAACGTCAAAAATCTATTTCGTTAGGGTGGTGATGGGGGGGGGAGGGTTGACTTCTATCATGGCTTTTCATACGTATACGATGTTATCTCATATCTGGTTTTCGAGAGGAGGGAGAGTTTTCTAAGGGAGCAGGCAGTAAAAGGTCATCTTTAGTTCGTTAAGTATAATACAATAAGTAACTCTGCAAGTTCCAGGGGGGTCTGGACCAACCCCCACCCACGCATGGCGAAATATTGTAAAAACGAAACTACAAGATTAGCTCACTTAGCTTTCTACATAATATTGTTATAACACACGAATTTCACAGAGGCTTATAAGTGTTATACTATTAGTATTTGAAAAGGAATTTCCTTTTGATAAGTGATTTGAACATTAAAACAATATTAATTTTATGTCGAGATAGCTCTTTATTTAAGGAATGAATTTATATTAGCTACCCATTTTATACGGTATAAACTGGAATGGGGCAGTTTACGCTTTATAAACCGCGAAGCGGTTTACAAAAAAGTGTAAACTGTTCCAACCCAGTTTATACCGTATAAAATGGGTAGCTATTAATTTCATGGCTTATAATTTAATTTTTTATTCATTTGATGTAAGAAAAAAAGATGATTGTTCTAACAAAATGACTTCAGTTTGTACAAATAGATCTTTATTCAAAGAAGAATCAATGATAATTAAATATGACCTTTATTAAAGTTTGATATCAGACGCTTATTTCAGAAATATTGATAATTACAGTGTATATGTCCAATGCAGTTTCAAGACAATTTTAAGAAGATAAATAAAGATAAATATTTTACAACCATTTTTTTTCCATTACGTAATTCCAAATTAATTTACATGTAAACATTTATTGCTATGGGAATTCCAGTGTTTAAGCGTACAAATCACTTAAACAGACAGATTCATCAAAACTGATGTATTCAGGTAAAGTACACAGTTTTTCTATTCACAAGCCCCTCGTTAATCAAGTTACATTTACATAGAATTAATTTCATTTTCAGATGTTTGCTGAAAACAGCAATACACGATAAAACAGAATAAAACAAACATGACTGATGTTATATAAAGTTTTTTCCATTTCCAGAAATGAGAAGAGTCCTTGACCTTTCACAATTTTTCTAAACAAGTCTACAATGGGTTTTTGTTTTAGATATTTATTTTTTCAAAATCATTTTAAACATCTTTTTCCCTTTTTCTTCTTAATTTTAAAGCATTGAATAAAATATACAATATCTGGATGATGAGGGGGAGGGGTGTCTGGTGGTTAGCTACAAATTAGTGGCTATCTGATTTAAAAAAACATTATTCTGATGTTGCATGGTCAATCTAATTTCTTAATGTTGCGTTTTTATATATATTTTAATGTTTATTCGCCAACCAAGAACTCTCAAGGGGCGGATACATTTGTTGCAATATTATTATCACATTAGATAGTTTTAAAGTATATGTTGTAACACGACATAATTATTATTAAATATAATCATAGAAGTATAAAGTGCAAAATCATAGGTTGGATCATTATGAAAATCTAAGATTTATCACATATTCACAGTACTTTTAATCTGATACTGCATCACTGGTTATCTTCAGTATTCAAGACACTCATTTAAAATACACGAGTGTATAAAATAAACAAGTGTTACGAAAAATTAAATTTTAAAAGTAAAAGATGTGTCTTTATTACATAAGTATCTGTCCGCATAATCTCTGGTCTATATACACGGAGACAAGTTAAACATTATGTCTATAAATCTGTCATTATGATATCAGCAAAACATGGTGCAGATACATGCATGCGTTCAAGGGAATTCCCTCTTAATTCAAAAGTCCCGGATATTATTGACAGATTAGCAATCCTAAATAAGGAAACGGATCTATTACAAATCTATTGGTATTAATTAACAATTTATTTTAATCTATTTGTTTTTATGTTGCTATATTTTTACGTCATCGTGTCGCTTTTTTTGACCTTGCCAAATAAAAACAATGGGCAGTAATTAGCATTGTAGTAAAAACGTCAGCCATTCGTCAAAGCGTGACGTCGCGCGAACTCTTGGCTTTTATTTCCTTCGATGCGGAACGAGACAAGAGTACGTCATACATGGAACGTACCAGCCCCTTAATGTAGAGGGGGCGGGGCGAAAAAAGTGGGACGTCCTTACTTCAGCACCGCTGTATATAAGCGGAGATTGTTTCTGTCAAACATATACAGGCTTGTGATAGCCATAACTAGGAAACATACACGACAAGAAAAATGGTAAGACAACATTTACATCTTACTAATGATTGATGCACCTTTTTTTATTTTGTTCATATTTTCATTCTTTTTTATTCTTTTAAATTTGGTAATTTTATGGATAATTTGATTATGTTCATTTGAGATAATATTTTTGTAAGGACATAAAGGAATTTTTAATCTTTGAGTTGTAAATTGTTACAATGTATTCGATAAATTGAAAATTTGAAAATTCAAAGTTCTCAGTTTATATTCATTTTTTTAAATTCTATTTTAGCTTGCCAAGCTGTTAATTTCCCTCGGATTACTTTGTCTGGTCGCCATTTTGGCTGAGGCCGCTATCCCTAAAAAACCTAAGTCCTTTGGAAGTCAGTTTTTGACCCAGACTCTCAGACGTGGAGCGAGGGGGAGAGGGCGTAGACCCTCCGGCCCCCCACAATGTGAGGCTTCCGGTCACGCCGAGATTGTCAAACCCGAGGACTTCATCACCCCACACTGGAATGAAGAGTAAGTATTTAGGATTAATCTATGTTTAAAATTTTACTTCTTTTGCTCAAATAAATGTAGCTCTAATAAAGAGTAACGCTTTGAAGTTAAAAATGGTGCTATAATTTTTAACATTTGATTTATTGGTACCTTATCAACATAACGATACCATTAATGACTTGCATTTTCGTTTTCTAGACAAGAAAGAAGAGTAATGGAAAGTGTCCGAACCAACGCAGAGGAATGGAACAGGCTGCAGGCCTTTAACCAATACTACAACCCACTGGACTACAGCGAATACGGGTAAGGATGGTTCTCCTTTATACATGTAAATATCGTGTTAAAAAATTAATGCTTGACACTTCCCTTCCATGTATGAATATTTTTTTTTAATTTTCTATAATTCGATGTGTCTTGTCCTACAGGTACTTTAAGCACGACAAGCACGAGTTTGGCTGTAAGGACGTGTGTATCCAGAAGAGAGTTCCAGTCCTGGGGGCCTACCTCACTATTGAAGATCACAACGGGATGAACGGCACCTACCGCTGTTATGTGGCGCCCACCCAGAGACTGTGGTACACCACATGTGGAGAGTAAGTTTACGTCATTAATTTTATTTCATTTTTACAAAGTTTTGCATTTTTAGTCTAAGCTACCGTATAAGTAGAATTTTTAGCGAGGATTTAATTTTGACATTTGCTGAGATCGCTAAAATTGAATATCGCTAAAAATTAATAGCATTTTATATGTAAAAGCTCCTTTAGTGAGGATTTTTAGATCACTAACATTACATCTCGTTTAAAATTGATTTCCACTTTCTGAGGACAAATCTCTAAATTTGCGTCTCTCTAAAATTCCCACTTATACGGTATAAAATTATACGCTTATATAATAAACTTAAGAACACAGCATTACCGCATATACTTGTATATTCGTTTAAAATTCGCGAAATATTTAATTAAATCATATTCTAACATTATCAGTCAATATCAGAGGTTTACATGTTTGATCTCTGTTTACAGAAAACTCCCCGCCCTGACAGTTAAGATGAGCCACTCCTACCAGTGTCTCCCTGATATGATTCAGGAGAGAGAGGTTATCATGTACTGCCCCGACATCGTCCCCCAGTGTAGGACCAGGACCTTCGCCCTCCCCCAGACCTGTAGTCTACAAGAAGTCAAGTGTCTCAATACCATGCCCAAAAAATTTAACCCATTCCTGCGAGGCTAAAGCGTTCTAGTGACCACCGGAAATAATACTTAAGTTTTGATTTTAAAAAACATCATGGGATTTTTTTTCTCCGGATTTTTTTCTTCTTTTTCTAAACGTTGACTTTTTAGATATACTATTAGACATTCTTCTTTTCGGTACGATATCAAAAGAAATTCTGTGTAATTCAAACTTCATTTTGATGGTATTTTTACATTGTTTTGAACTTGTTTTTTTTTTTTCTTCAATTCGATTCTTTATTGATATTGCAAAAATATCTCAATGACTTGTATTGTATGTATCAAGATAACTACTTCTTGTTACTTTGACTGTGATAATAGGGATTTCAAATAACTGTTATATATTTGTTATATGTTTGTGCGTTGCTTCGATATATAGTTGTAATTTGTTTATGTTTAAAATTTATGTTGTTTTTGAGGTAGGAATTTCTCAACACCAGAATACATGAAAACTTGTGTTTTAGAAATTGTACTTCAAATATGAAAAATCCAAAGTGCCAAATTCATCAATATGTAATCAATATGTGTACATCACCCATCATTCAATATTATGTGTGTAAGTGCCCGATGTTAGAGAGTTATTTCCAATGTGCAATATTTTTTATGCAATAAATATTTTGGTTATAAAAAAAACTTTCTTTCTTCTTTTCATTGAACTAAAAAAATCCTATGGTTGGAAGACTAGAATTGAGAAAAGGATTTTTTCAATTTAATCACAGAGACAGTTTTCTGAATAACTATCAATAGCTGTCAACATCTTGTATGTATTGTATGTAACAATCGGAATGCTTTTCATACAGTAGACATAAAAAAGGAAAACAAACGTTCCCTCTTTGTCCGGAATCTAGATAACTTTTTTATGTGTGTCTTCAAACAATCAAATTTATCGTAGATAATGTCAACAATTAAACTAAAAACGAAACATTAATATTAATGTTTATATTATCTACATTTTTTCATATATATTAATTTGTTTATGTTTAAAACTTTTATGCTGTTATGTAAGTTTATGTATATCAAATCACGACCACACAGATTTAATATAATTATGGCCAAAACTTGTGTTTTAGTAATTCTAGAACCCTTAAATATAAAAATCAAAACAAAGTGCCAAATTCATCAATATATAATCATTTATTTTTTTTTAATAAAAGTAAAACATAAATCATGTCACCTCTTAAGCGTGCATGGTTGATAAATTAAAGAAATTAATTAACTATTGGTATATTTTTTATGCAATAAATATTTTGGTTATAAAAAAAACTTTCGTAAACTAGATAAAACGGTTGGATTTTCATTGAACTAGGAAAAAATCTTATGGTGATGAAAAAGCCATGCAATTGAGAAAAGGGATTTTTACATTAAATGTAATATACACAGTTTTCTGAATAACTGAAAAAAAAATCAAAACAATAGCTGTCAACATCTTGTATATATTGTATGTAACAATCGTAATGCTTTTCATGCAGTAGACATAAAAAGGAAACCAAACGTTCCCTCTTTGTCCGGAATCTAGATTACTTTTTTATGTGTGTCTTCAAACAATCAAATTTATCGTTAATTTATTTGCTCTGAAATGTCAACAATTAAATTAAAAACGAAACATTAATATTAATGTTTATATTCAAATTTTCTGCATTTTTTCATAAAGTATATAATTGATAATCATAACTATAAATTTTCATACAAAAAATACAAAAATTTTAAATATTTTTTTTATGTAAGTTATTTGTATATTTAATCTTTGTAAATGTTGCACGACCACACAGATTCAATATAATTATTTTAAAAAAGAGCAATTTTCTGTGTAGTAATTAAAAATATTAAAACTATAATCCAGATAAAATGATCAAAACAAGTTTGACTCAAGTAAGTTAACTTAACAGTAACATCATTTATTTTTTTTTAATAAAAGTAAAACATAAATCATGTCACCTCTTAAGCTTGCATGGTTGATAAATTAAAGAAATTAACATAACTATTGGCATACTTTATTCTGCTTTCATGTTTGTTGTCACTCAAGTATGAAGTAATTCCACCGTAAACTAGATAAAACGGTATGGATTATGTCCTTTACCAAGGAAAATTGACATTGTCTTACTGAGTGATAGAAAAAAGCAATGAACTGCGTCCTGATTTGACAAGAAATGCCTACATTAATTATAATATACATGTAGTGACGTCAGTGAAAAAATCAAAACAATTACCTGGAACGATTTGATATGGAATTCGTTTGACGATTTTTTTTTTATAAATCGAAATTCAAAATACTTTTTGATGGTAGATTATTAAAAGAGATCCTTTTTTCGTCCACGTCGTCGCCTAAATAAATAAATCATTTCTTTACCTTTTTTTTAAATTTTGGAAGTTGTACAGTGTTTCTGCTTTTGATACAAACAAATCTGTAAAAGGTGCTTAGACAGAGATTTGATGTAAATATTTTCTCAAATTTTCTGTATAATTTCATAAAGTATATAATTGATAATCATAACTATAAATTTTCATACAAAAATATTATAAAATATTTATTTTCTGGAAGTTATTTGGATTGAAACTTCTAATTTCTAAACGCGTTTGATTGAGATGTCCTTGCACCTTCACAATCTTTAACTGTATCCGTCATATTTTAAAAAAGGAAGCAATTTTGCTGTGTATTTATGAAAAATATTAAAACTATAATCCAGAAAATTCATGGTGGCAATGTGCGGAAACAAAACCAGCACATCAGTTTTGTCAGTCCATACTCAGTGGTGTGTGCTGAGTTTAACAATTGAACACATCAGGTGAAACGTAAACATTAACAATGTTTCAGAGGTGTATTCAATTTGTTAAACTAATAGATGTACACAACATTGAGCACAGACTGACATTACTAGGGAATGTGTTTGCTTTCACACATATTGATGCTCTGAATTTTCTGCATTATAATAGTTTTAAAATTATTCAGTATTACACAACAAAATTACAACTTTTCTAAACTTGAAGTATTAAGGATAAAGTTAATATTTGTGAAAATGTAATGCTGTGCCAATTATACAGATAGTTTGAGAAAATATAAATATCAAATCTGTGTCTAAGCACCTTTAAATACTTGATAGTATGGCATTTCAAACATAGCAATTTTAGATCCTTTCATCTACATTTTCCGTTTGTATTTTATGGGTTTTTTTATTTTCCGTGTATTTTACTTTAGTAATTATATATAATTTTATTTAAGTATTGTACATCTTTCTCGTATGTAAAGGGTAAAAAAAAGGACCTACTATTTTTATGGTCATCATGTATCTAATTAAATACTTTTCAATAATGAAGTGATTTAAAAGAGTAAAAAGAATTGTGTACATGTATGGCTCTTAAGAACAGATGATACAAAGAAAATTGTCAAAAAAAAAATTGAAAAAAACAATCTGACTCATGTTTCATTGAGTAAAGTGAAAAGATTAAACCGCGTAGTTTTTAATATTTTATTCAAATATACACAAAAATGGAATTGGAAGTAAAACATATTTGTATGAATTAATAAGGATGGCTGCAGAAAGGTAGAATCTTAAACATGACAGAAGGTTTACATTTTTTTTTGGACATTTTTAGCTCTATTATTTGCTATAAAAATATACCCAGAAATATATACCAATCCAAGCATCAATTGTTTTATTTATATCATCTGTCCTTAAGTCTTTTCACAAAAAGCGAAATCATCTGGACGCCAAATGCAAGATATTTTTTATATAGAAGTATCATTTTTCAAACCTCAGTTTTTATAACAGACATAAAAGATTCAGCAAGAAAAAGGTTTGTATGGTTGTGATCTTTAAGTGATTATCTGTTAACTGATTAAATTGTGTTTCTACATGCAAGGGGTAGACAGCTTTTATTTAATTTTGAATAGTTAGTCAGGGTTGAATATAAATCAAAATCTACAACAAATCATAAATACTTCCTACATTGTTCATATCTTGAAGATGACTAAAATGAATATTTTTTTTAGATTTCCAGAGTGATTTAGAATTCTAAATTTTAAATCAATTGCTAAAAAACCATTTCAGATCAGAAGTTGTTCAATATGTATTTTGATTCTAGGTAATAAATATCGTTTTCCTTATTCTAAGAATGTTTCATAATTCTGAAAATTTGAATAGTCAAGAGCACATTCATGTGAGAGATATATATATATTTTAAGATATCCGAATTTTAAAATTTACAAAATTTAATGTTATTCCAATTTTCAAACGTTGATGTTATTTCAATTTTTAAAGGTTACATCCATTAAATAGAAAATATACCTATTTACTTTCACAAAAATAAAATCACCACCCTTTTTCCTCGTTTTACATGGACTTTTAATTTGTTCTCCAACACTTATAACGTTCTCGATTTTTTCAAATATTGATTTTGATATCAACTTTTTAATACTAGTATTAATTTTACCAAACAATTAACTTTATCCAAAATTCGAAAGTTTTATACACACCATTGGTATATATAACAATCTGAAAGTCTTCAATTGGAAAAACCCTAATTTACATATGCATGTATCACGGATCATGATGAATTTTCTATTAGTGTATAGCTCAAAAACTGCATGATTCACTAACCTTGAAAATTGTACAATTTACCATCGTTTGTCCAAATCAATCAGAGAAGAAATGAGGTAAAGATTTAATGTTTTTATTTCAAAAAATATCTCAACAATACAATAGGGACTTCAAATAATCAAAGGACGATGATGTACAAAAATGATAATACAATATTTGGTAGTCACAAATACAAAAGAGACAGGATAAATAACACATCATACAGAACACAAAGTAATTGCACATGCCCGAACGTGATGCAAAAACACTCAAACACTCATACAGAGCACTCTCAACAGATTTATCCATATGCGCACATTATGGCACTTTGGTTGTTTCACAGCAATGTTAAGATTCAGAAATTGGCAGAAGATACAATTAATGATGATCATCTTCACCTTATTCGGTTCTTTATTGCTGAATGTTTGGAGTTTTCTTTGGTTTACTTTTTAGCTACAGGAAATCCTAAATAGGCTCTTGGGTCTGGGATGACGTTTTTACATTCGTAACAAAGCTTGCAGCTGCAGGCTGTGGGGACATCAAAGGATCGGACGAAGACCATCTGGATTTCTGGACAAACAAGATTAACCTTTCTGCGGACAAAGTTGGTTGGGGCACATCTGTATTCATCTCTGACACTGTATCCAAGTCGGCACTTATCTATGTTGGGGTATCGTCTGTAAGAAAAGATGACTAATTGAGAACTGCATCAAAGATTTTCCGCACAGCATTACAATTTTAAATCGATAACAAAAGCCTCCTTTGACCTAATTGTCTATTTTCTACAGAGCCTATGCTCCATTACAATTAAGAGCTAAATAAACTTGATTATCACGCTACTTACGGGTGAGTACATTTGACGGCTGTGAGTTGCTGAGGGAATGGGATGAAGCACTTGTAGTCCCTGCCGTTGTAGTTGTGCCATATAGCTTCGTTTGTCAGGTTAACCAGGGTAGTCTTACAGACTGGGTCTAGCTTGTATTCAGTGATCTGGACGGCATCTCTGTTGACAAAAATGAGATGATACATGAAGACTTCATTACAAGGAATAGGAATACATAGGCAACAGCTGGTATATTTGACAAAAAATCTAAATTGTTTGGTTATTTGTAGGATTTCATAGAAGACTTACTCGTATCTGTAAAGATCGGAGAAACACTGAGAAAATTCCTGTTCCAGTCCGGAGTATTTCCAGGACTCCAGGGCGTCATATGTTTGTTTGTAGTAGGCCATGGCCGCTGGGTCGTTCTGAGGGTTAGCGAAAGCATTGTACAGGGGCTGCCTAGAATTCAATAAAAATAACCATAAACAATGATTGCTTATTTAATTTCATTGTACATTGACTAAAATCCATTTCAATTGAGCCGCACAAGGATAACATTAACCAATTGATGACATTGAAAGTTTACTGAAAGTGTACTGAAAACGTGCATGAATGGCTCTGCAATTGATTAGCACTTTCAGACTTATCGGTCAACATTCAGTTGAGAGAATGGTTTGAAATCGTTCAGTGAATATCTCCCTTTTTCTTGAATAAAGAAATACAGGATTTTTGACTTACTGATTGTATCCCTGGAGTTCTGGGTCGGGGATAAAGAATCTGTCGATGTTTGAGGTTGGCCAGTTCTGTGGAAGTTTAATGTTCTTGGGACAAACAAAACTCTGATCAAAAATGGCATTGGCGCTGAAATGAGTGGAAGCACTACATTGATTCATCTGGATGGGAAGCCTCATGAAATCTGCGAAGGGGTTGGCGTTGACCCCTGTAAGTCGGGGGTCACTGGCTAGAGGAGCCCCGGGGCCGTACATAACGGACTGCACTGTAGCAGCTAGTGCAAGGACAAGGAAGTAGAACATCTGAAAGCATAAACAATATTGTTAAAAACTTAGCATTTCCTATATGAATATATATATATTTTTAAATATACTTGGTAAATAATTATTTTCATTTATTATTTTTGTGTCCATTTCATCTTTCCCAAAAAACGTGATTTTAAAAACATCTTCACATTCACATTCTACATTATTGAAAAGACTGTATTAATTGAAAAAAAAATGATTAAAGTATTCCTAAACCCAAAATATTTTTCTTCATATTATAAGACAGTACTTTCTTACCATGCTTGCTATTTTGACCACTTGTAATGACTTGGTCGGATTTATTGTCGGGACTGTGTGTATTCTCGCCTTTTATACTACTGGCAGGTGGAAATCACGGTTCATTTGTCATTTCACGCATGGTTGATTGACCGACACACGTCATAGATTTTAAGGCTCTCTGTGTCTTACCATCTCGGGACAATGATCGTTTCAGAAAACAGGAATAGCTCGGTTTGACGTCATACATGAGAAAAATAGAACACAAAATGTTTTTCTTTGAAAATGCAGAATTGGCAAATTTTAACGGAAATAGTCTTATAAAAGAAATAGAGAAATTATTACCTCCATTATGAATAAAATATAAATCTTGAAATGTAACCGTTTATTACATAATTGAATTTCCTCTATGTAAATATAATTTTTTTTTTTTATGAAAATTGCAGCCACTCTTTAAAGTCTCCATTCTCTAATTTACAAAATATATACAAATAAAATTTACCATCACAATGCCTTAAAATATTAAATTCAATTTGTTAGATACAGTTGATGATTAATAAAGTTAACATAGCAAATTTAATGTTGTGGTTTTTCTTAAGTTGATAATTAACATAATTTTTTTTTTCTAATCTTTGAACTAGTAAATGTAATCATTCACTAAATTTAGACATGAATACGTCATTCCTCGTGCGTACTAGCCCGATAATTTTTATTGGTCGACGTGGTTATGGTTGGGACGTCTTTTCCGCGATACTCTGGTATATAAACGCAAGTGTCTTACCTTGAGACTACATCCGCTAGTGCAAGTCATACCAACAAGAAAACAGAAATAGCAAAGCAAACAAAATGGTAAGACCTGAATGTTTTGGATGAATAGAAAACAAATTAGACGCTATCTTATTCATTTTGAAAAAAAAATCTTCATTTATTATATTATATTAATCCTTCCATTTCTTTTTTTTTTTTCGAAAAAAAAAATGCAAAGTTGTGTAAACATTCTGAATATTTCTGCTGTATAATTTTGTTGTGACAACTGTACTCACTTTTTATTTTTTCAGATTGTAAAGCTCCTGATTTCCCTCGCAGTCATCAGTCTGGCCGCCATTTTGGCTGAGGCCCTTATCCCTAAAAAACCTAAGTCCTTCGGAAGTCAGTTTTTGACTCAGACTCTCAGACGAGGAGCAAGGGGAAGGGGGCGTAGACCCTCCGGCCCCCCACAATGTGAGGCTTCCGGTCACGCCGAAATTGTCAAACCCGAGGACTTCATCACCCCACACTGGAATCCAGAGTAAGTATAAGAAATTTCCTGTTGTTTCTTTTTTTTAAATATTAAACAACAATTAAATAAAAAATTGCTTGTGTTTCTCCTATATACCTACAATAAACTTATTGTTAAATTTGTATTTTCATATTTACTTATTTTATGATCTAATGGGATATTTTTGTTATCTTTAGACAAGAGAGAAGAGTCATGGAAAGTGTCAGAACAAACGCTGAGGAATGGAACAGGCTGCAGGCCTTTAATCAATACTACAACCCACTGGACTACAGCGAATACGGGTAAGTTAGAATAAATTTGAGAGTGCCAAAGTTACCAACCGAAAGATGAAAGGGTATGCAAGATTGTATCATTATCAAAAGATTTTACAAACAATACTATTGAATCAGTTTGACTTGAATATTTTTTTATAAATTAAAAACCAATCTGTTGTCCTACAGGTACTTTAAGCACGACAAGCACGAGTTTGGCTGTAAGGACGTGTGTATCCAGAAGAGAGTTCCAGTCCTGGGAGCCTACCTCACTATTGAGGACCACAACGGTATGAACGGGACCTACCGCTGTTATGTGGCGCCCACCCAGAGACTGTGGTACACCACATGTGGAGAGTAAGTTTATATAAATACATGCAATTTTATTTGCTTGCTTGTTAATGTCAATACTTATTTTAAAATTGACTTACATTCGAAGATTTTGTTTACCTTACCTACAATATTATACCAAAAATCAATAAAACAATAACAAATCAGTATATATATTTATATAAATGATGAATGTTTTTTTCAAAAAAATCAAGAAGATCAATTTTTAGGGTTAGTGATAATGAGCACAACTTATATACACTGTAGGTAAATTTAAATATTTTACTATTCAATATTTTACATCCATGCTTTGTCGTTCCTTCAGAAAACTCCCGGCGCTGACGGTGAAGATGTCCCCCTCCTACCAGTGTCTCCCTGATATGATTCAGGAGAGAGAGGTCATCATGTACTGCCCCGACATCGTCCCCCAGTGTAGGACCAGGACCTTCGCCCTCCCCCAGACCTGCAGTCTACAGGAAGTCAAGTGTCTCAACACCATGCCCAAAAAATTCAACCCATTCCTGAAATTGCGAGGCTAAAGCGTCATGAAGACCATACAACTTTACCATCCATTTCCATTTCTTTTTATTTTGGAAAAAAGTCTAAGTTTTGAAATTGAAGGTTTATTGGCTTGTTCCCTGAGTTTTACCTTTTCAAATGAGAATAAGAAAATAAGTTATTTTTTAAATTCTAAAAATGGATATAATATAATTTTTATACATGTCTCATAATACTATTGAAAATGTTATATTCCAGCATCAATTTATGATGTGTTTATCTGTGATAATAGGGATTTCAAATAATTGTTATAACTTTTTTGTGTTTTTATGTTTGTTGTTGAGGTAGAATTTATGTTCACATATCTCAATGTATATTCCTTATAGGAAATGATATCTTGTACCTCAGACATTTAAAATCCAATGTTGCCAAATCATCGCCTGTATATGTATATCATTAATCATTCAGTGTGTGCTATTTGTATGCAAGTGCCCAACGTGAGAGAATTATTTCTTATGTGCAATATTTTTTATGGAATAAATATCTTTTGCTATTAAATATACTCCGTGTTTATTATTTATGTTTTGAAAAGTACTTGAAAATAACAGAAAAGGTGTTTTTAATAATAAAATACTCTTCCGACTGTGCTGCTTATTTTTCTTGAAATGACATTATGTAATGCAAGGGATTTAATTGTTTTATATTATGCTTTAAATGATTGTAAAAAGCTAGTGTTACTAAGGAACGTCAAATATGGTGTTGCATATCTAAGTTTACTAAAAGGCTTATTACCTGCACTTTAACTTTCGTTATAAATCACTTTTAATTCTATCCGCGACAATCATTCTCCGGAGATAAATTAATTTTTCTTTCTTGACTGGAAATAATTCTTTTTTCAACAGTTATCCACCAATCTTTTAAAATTGTTAAGCTAAAAATCATCAAAATCCAGTTTAATTTACCTGATTGTAGTGAATATTTGTGAAAAATATCTGCATACTTGCTGAAAGAACTAAATCAAAAGATGAACATTAATTATTATATTAGTAATTCAAATTCTTTGATGTATGAATATAGATGATGTCAAATTATCTTAATTTTGATAAATAAACTTCTTCAAGTTACGTTGATACAGCAGTAACATGTTCATACTTCCTATTTTTCAAGCAAATAAGTCAATAACTGTTATAAATGATAATGTATTTTTCTTCTAATTAAATAAATACAACAAATGGAAGTATCGAACAGTACCCAAGATCAAAAGTCCATAAAACAATTTAAAATAGGAGCAGAGCAAACACGGACCTTCGAAACATCAGAGGTGGGATCAGGTGCCATGGAGGAGTGAACATCCCCTGCCGACCGGTCACACCCGTCATGTGCTCCTTGTCATGATTGGAAAATAACGGAAAAATCTGTCGTCAATATAGCGTATAAATAATGGACTTATTTACCTCGTTTTAGAAATTGATCATACGTATTAAATGAACTAGCTTAAGTTGTAATGTATAAGACATTTATTGTTTAATATTTTAATTATCTCTTTCACGGTAACTGCAGTAATACTCTTCTGCACAGCATATAATAACATTTGGCGGAGGTTTTTCTTGATACTTTTTTGAAAATTGTTTTTACGTCAGATTTCACCAGAAAAGATTATTTTGCCCTGGAAAAGAGTTGTACCTCATTTATCGTGAAAAAAAAATGATATTCTGCTTTAAAAATTCAGTATCCCAACAGTACTGTCACCTTTAGAATATCACCATTGTAAACTACCACACACAATCCAAAAAATGGAAAAGGTAGTGGTATTATCTATGTATATGGTTTGATAATAATGCATGTAAAAACATGAAACTGACAATAAATGGAAAGCTAATTAATACTAAGCGAAGTACAAACAATAAAAATCTGCAAATATATTTGCATATCAAAACCTGATTGTACTCGAATCATGTCCTTGACTATACGTTAGGATAGATAAACACTTATGCAGATAATTGTTGATTACTACAAAAATAACTTAAGTTGGTGGAAAAGCTAGGGCCATCCCGTTTGTCATGCAGTTAAACTGTCATTTTGCCTTAATTAACAGTATTCGGTAAAACATCCAAGTATGTGGATGATTTTAAAGATTCTGTACAGAGCCTTTCATTGCATTTATAATATCGGCATGTGTATAAAAGATGAATCTACTTATGGGTGATAAAATGCAGATATGATGATTTGAAAGTTATTTGTTTGTGTAAATGGTTTTAATAAAAATTTTACTACAGTACTGCAAAAATGGTTTTACAAGGATTTATCACTGAATAATTAACATTACTAATATTTACAATATCTTTCTTTTAATTAGAATGAAAAAGAATAGATTACTTTGAATTCTTTTTGTTTAGTATACTAGTACCTGTAGTCAGAAAAATTTCAGAATAAATATACATGTATTACCTTTTTATAATGGACTGTTTTGCAATTTTTTAATTAAGTGGCATTGAAATTGACAGTATTTTGTCACTTGGAATTTAAAATACATATTCGTATACGTTTAATACTCATTTCCTCATCTATATATTGTTGACGTCAAAGGCGATCAACGAATGTAATAACGTATGTCTTTGATTTGTTTCGATCTCATTCAAATGAAGAGTTAATTTTGATCTATTGATCATATATTTTTGTCATCAATCACCACTTATTGCAAAT